ATAGGAGGTCTCGACCTTTCACGTCAAAACACGCAACCCCATATACCACCTACCCCCCACCATTTTTAATTGTTTCTGGAACAAATAGTTACTCATTACGATTGGCTTATTTTATTTCGAGATCTTTGCAAATTGCCATGGATGGCAGCGACGTCGACTTCGAAGCAGATGCTGGTGAGCGATCAAGATAGAAGGAGGAGGAGGAGATGGAAGCAGCGGGGGGAGATGGAGGCAGGAGGAGGAGATGGAGGCAGGTGGAGGAGATGGCGGCAGGAGGAGATGGCGGGAGGAGGAGGAGAGGGAGGCAGGAGGAGATGGAGGAAGGAGGAGGAGGGAGAGGGAGGCGGGAGGAGGAGGATATGGCAGCAGGGGGGAGAGAGGCGGGAGGAGGCATGAGAGTGAGGCGGAGGAGGAGGATATGGCAGCAGGGGGGAGAGAGGCGGGAGGAGGCAGGAGATGGAGGCAGGAGAACGAGGAGATGCAGGCAGCAGGAATGGAGGCAGGAGGAGGAGGATATGGCAGCAGGAGGAGGAGAGGGAGGCAGGAGGAGGATATGGAGGCAAGAGCAGGATATGGAGGCAGGAGGAGGAAAAGGAGGCAGGAGGAGGAGGAAATGGAGGCAGGCAAGAGGTTGAGAGGGAGGCAGGAGGAAGAGGAGATGGAGGCAGGAGGAAGAGGAGATGGAGGCAGGCAAGAGGTTGAGAGGGAGGCAGGAGGAGGAGGAGATGGAGGCAGGAGGAAGAGGAGATGGAGGCAGGAGGAGGATATGGAGGCAGGAGGAGGAGGAGAGGGAAGCAGGCAGGAGGAAATGGGGGCAGGAGGAGGAGGAGATTGAGGTTTTAAAGGAGCAGCAGCAAGAGAGAAACGGTGGGATAAGAAAATCTCGCGACTATTGCATTTGCCCTACCTTGGCATTTTTATCTCACGCTTCCTGAGAAATACGTCTTAGATCAATCATGGTGTTTGACATATGGAGTTGTATCTTCTTAGCTGATGATATTTAGGGTTTAGGATCATGAGTCTTACTTGCTGATAGGACCTGCTCACCAAGAAAGTGCGTCGAGCGGATCCAGTGTTGACTTCGAAGATGATTATGGCGATCAGCCTCATACAGGAGCTGTGCACCACAACGAAGACATGGTAGTTTTTCATTCTTCTCTCCCAGATGTCCAGCGTGGGTCTGACAGAGCTCACAGGGTGAGGGCTCCATCGGCAATGCTGTCAACGATTCTCTGCACTTAGACCGCATGGTTGCATGGATAGCTTGCATTCAGATGGACCTGCAAGACGCATTGGAGGTTTGTTACAAGGCATCCAAACCTCTCTAGAATCTGACTGTTCTCCTCTATCAGGAGCACAAGAAGGAGGATCACAACGTGCGCGCACTGGTTCAGCAAATACAAGATCTTCGTGAGAATTTGGTTCCACGGCAAGTTCAAGCTTTAAACTGTTAATGCAAGGGGACGCCACAGTACGAGATTCATGGAGGCACCTTGAAACGAAGCAGAAGCATGCAGGTTTGTTTTCGAAGCATCATGCCAGCAAGCTTGTGAATGTTGCTCTGGGTCAGAGCGAATGGCAGAGCTCAATGAGAGGAAGAAATCCCTTCTAGAATTCAGGTAGGCGTCAACGACGCATGTCTAGATTTGATAGTTTTTCTAGAATGTTATCAGAACTTGTTCCCAAGAATTCTGACGTCGTTTCGTCAAGACAGAGCGGTATTTCACTTCTTTCTTTGTTGATGTTACTCCTGCCATGATCATCCGTTGCTCAATCATTGGTTTAGTAGTCTAGATTCAGACTTACCATTTTAAGAACAACCCCCAACAAGACACATGCTTTGAACTGTGTTCTCATGAATTTCATGTTGAACCTAATTCGTTTCCAGACACCATGTCAGGTGTGAGGCGAGACAGTGATTCGGTAGAATCACCTCAAGTAAGAATACCAATGTCCAGCATTTCCGAGACTTTGGTGCTTTTGCTTAGAACCCTCTTCTCTATTACTGATTGTTTCATTCTTTCTGCAGACTGCGTATCTTCCAATATCAAGAGAATCGGTTTACGCCGCGTTTGCTGGAGTTGGATCAAGTGAAATGCGAGATTGATTTGAGGGACAAGGTTGACCTCACAATCAGGTTCCCCCATATCGAATCACAACCAGGAAAACTTGGACTCAGAATCAACCGACAGCATCAGATCAAACAGGTTCAACCCTTTGTCACTACTATGAGTTAAAAACTGAATGACGATGGCAAGGTCTGTGAAACCAATCAGTTGGGCGAATGAGGAGACAGATAGAAGAAAGGTGAATGGTTTAGCAAGTCAAATACAATTTGAGATTGTTCACCTTTGTTAGCATATCGACACGGTACTGAAGGGTGAGGAGATTGTAAAGGAAACCAAACCAGATATAGAGTTGGTGTACCCGGAAAAGATGGAACCCCTTGTTTCTCATGCTTCTGATCAGGTCACTTGATACTTTAGTTGGGCACAACTTAGGCTGCCAAACAGGTGGAAGACGGAGACAGAGGAAGCGAAGAAGAAATCTCGACTGACGAGGCACAATTCAGTGAAAGCAGCGAATCCATTGGGAGGACGAAGCACAACGATGTTCTAGAACGTTACAAGGAGCAAATCGCTCAACTTGTTACGGATGCCAAGTTCTTTCGAGAAGCAGGTTCCCTTTCAATCTCGTCGACCTTGATGGTTGACTATGTTGCAGGATGTGATGGCGAATCATTGCTCGACGAGCTCATGCAGCAATGCAGTTTTCTCCCGGATGAACAGGCAGTCAAAGTAGTTGTGATATTGTTTGTAACGCTCTTGCAGCATTCCGTCCGAATCGCACTGTCTGGCTTATTGTTTAGCCATGACAATGAGGAGTTACAGTCACAAGAGAAATCTCAGGACGAATAAAGTGGATCATGAGTCAGTCAAGTAAGATAGAAATGACATGGAATTTTGATGTTCATGGAAATTGTACGATTGACACACCTTGGTCACTCTCTGTTGACCTGTCGACATTAAATAAGAAGAGCAGCAAGGAACGTCTATCAGATGTGTACCTTGTCGAATATCCTTGTCCTCCAACGTTGTCTCTCCTCGTCTTGCCGCCGATACTTACACATTCACTCTCTATCATTCGAACGATCCCCGTCACACTTGTTCTTGTTACGACCCTCTACACTTTCTCTTCTCTTTGTTTTCCTCCTTCTCTTCCTCACCTTCCATGCTCCTCGTCCTCTCTCCTCCACCAGCTCCTTCTCTTCCATGTACGCTTTCATCCTCCCCCTCACTTCCCTTCTTTGCAGATCCAGAGGTTGGAGTGCGGGAGCCGAGAGCGCAGCGAGGGTTCCAGGTGGAGGAGCATCAGCTTCTGAACATCTTGAGGCAGATGAGAGAGTACAAGAGCTTCGTGTACTACTTGTGCGAGCGAGACTCTGTCCGCAACCTCCTGCCGACCCTCCAGTCCAAGTTCGAGCTCGCGTCCAAGGCGCTGTCTCAGTTCCTGGAGCATCAGCGGAGGAACTTTCCTCGGCTTTACTTCGTGGAGGACAAGGACATTATTGAGATGCAGTACGCCTGCGTCAACAACCCCTCCTCCCTCCGCTACTACCTCCCGCTCATCTTTGAGGTGGCCGACCTGTCCTGGAGGGAGGAAAAGCCTTCTCAGGACGGGGAGGAGGAGAGAGGGGACCCGCGCATGCAGCAGGTTCAGGTGCCGACAGGCGGGCCTGAGGCACCCGCAGGAAGGAAGGCAGTAGGGGGACCAGATCCGGCTCGTCCGCTTGATGGAGGGTATCATCCAGCCGACAGAACAGAGGAGGGGTCGAGAATGTCCAGGTCTGCTCACAGGGTAGAGGAGCGCTGCAATGTAAGAAGCTGGCCGTGGCGATGTAGTAGGCTGATACGCCATCCCCTCCTAGAGGTGTGAGTCCATCTCCTCCCTCCTGATATATAGGCGACGTCTGGCTCCCTGGCTTTTCCACACACACCGGGAATGAGCTGGTGCTGGACTTCACGGTGGTCTTCATGCCCACCATGGAGCTACGCTGATAACGGAGTGGGATGGATGCGTGCAGGAGGCGGTATATGGGGACCCTAATTGCCATCATCTGCGTGCTCGTCTGTTTCGGCAGCGTCGAGCTCGCATGGGTCTTGCCGTCCTCCTGATCGCTGATCCTCGTTCCCCTGCTTGTCGTGGCCCATAGACTCGCTGGTGTGGTTGGAGTAGACTGAGGATTGCGCTGCCCGATCCCTTCTTGGGCGGACTCGGTGAGGCGGGTTTCGTTCGGTATCTCCCTCTAGCTTGCTCCTGTTTGTCCCTTCCACTTTTAAGTAAAACATCATTACCGCTGCCATGGCCAAGAGAGCTCGAGAGCTGGTCGAGGAAGAGACGAATGCAGCTGTAGAAGAAGAGGCTAGGGGGGTGCAAACAAACGTCAACAAAGTAGATCAAGCCATCACTGATGTAGAGCAAGAGATCAAGGGAGTACAGGACGAGATCAAGGGAGTACAGGACGAGATCAAGGGAGTACAGGACGAGATCAAGGGAGTACAGGACGAGATCAAGGGAGTAGTGGACGAGATCAAGGGAGTAGATCAAGTCATGGCGGATGTAGAGCAAGAGATTAGCCAGGCACAAGACCCCAATATGAAGGCTGACTTGATCATGAAACGAACGAAGCTTGAAGGTGAAAAGAATCGGCTTGCGGTCCGAGAGACACGTCTTCGAGATGACAAGAGACAGCTTCGGAATGACAAGAGACAGCTTCGAGATAAAGAGGCAGGACTTCGAGATAAAGAGGCACGGCTTCGAGAGGAAACGAAGGAAAAGAAGCAGGCAGCCTTTACCTGGACAGAGTCAGAAGCTCGGCTTGACGGCATGGGCTTTTGCAAGGAGGACAAATACTTCCGTCTAGCTTGCTCTTACTTAAAGGGCACAAATGTAAACAGCGGAGAGCATCTTCTTCTTGTGATGATCATTATCCTGGGTGTGGTTCATGTGTACATGCACATGACGTCCAGTCCGGTGAAGAGTATCACGCCGTTGCAAGACAACATCTGTCCCTTGCAGACGCGATACAATGATACTCTGTTGAGGCATTTTCCAGTGCCACCCAACATTACGGAGCCAGTCCAGCAGGAGCAAAAGCCGAGCCCCCAGAAGAACGATACCGTGCGGCCAACCCAGGATCAGAAGCAGCCAATCCAGGAGGAACAGAAGCCGCAGGCCCCCCCAAAGGAAGGGAATCAGTCTGAGACACGCCAGGAGGAGCAGAAGACTTCAACTGCAGATCACGAGAATGTGAACCAGAAAGAACAGAAATGGACTGTCTTCAGTTCGTTGCATCTTCCCCGCATCGACCTTGTTCGCCTGTCGGTCCCTGTCGGGACGCTTGCCATCGCAATCGCTTCTCGCGTCACCTACAACTCGATCATGCAGCGCCGTGCGTACTACAAGAAGCTGAATGATGATTTAGATGCGATCATCAACAGAAAGCCGTTGTGGTAAACCCGTTTTGCTAGTGTTGCAATAAAGTACGTTCAATATCTACTCCCGGTGAGCGCGATGTATAAAGGGGTGGTTGGCTGGGCGGTGGGGTGTGGTGGGATATGGGGGGTGGGGCACGGTGGGCGCTTGCCGGCTCCTGCCTCCTGGCGTGGCTCGGGGGCGTGTCGGGGCAGGGCTTCATGCCGGTCCACGGGAGCATCAACGTGATGCCCACGGCTGCGCTGCACTCGGCATCGAGCGTGTCGTACGACTACGCCGCGCGGGTGTGGTCGATCCAGCTGACCTTCGACGCCGGGGTGGCAGGGGTGCCGTACGCGCCCTTCCTGCTCGACCAGCGGCGGGACACGGGGCCGAGCCTCAACTTCCTCTCGGAGGTGGCGCCGTGGTGCGGGCTGGTGCGCTCCTACTGCTGCTTCGAGGACCTCCTCAACGGCACGCTCTACTTCAACGACGCGCTGGCCTCCGCCGTCTCCGGGCTGGGCGCGTGCGCCTCGGCGCCGGGGGCGTGGGCCGCGGCGCTGGCCGACCCCTCGGCGTACGGCGGGGTCCGGCCCGCGGGCAACGTCACGTTCGACTTCGCGGGCAACACGCTGCGCATCCCGCACGAGCAGGCGCAGCTGTACGGGCGCGAGTACCTGGACCAGAACAACAACTACGTCGTGGACCTCCGCTTCCTCGCGGTGTTCCAGTCGGCGGCGGCGGGGGTGCTGGAGCTCGCATGGGTGCCGTACCAGGCCGTGCTGCTCCGCGACATCGACGGGCTCTTCGGGCGCTCGTACGAGGACGTGCGGCAGTGCGTGGCGGCGCCCTACCCGAGCCCGGCCGACTCCTTCTGGCTGGCGCGCTACGCCTCCCCCGCCTCGGCGGACAAGGTGTGCGAGTGGTACTGCAACCTGGGGCGCTACAGCTTCCCGCTCCACGCGGCGCAGGCGGAGAGGCTGGCCGCCCGCGCGGGGCATCGCCGTGGGGTACAGCCTGTGGCTGCTGATGAACACGACGGAGCTGTCGCGGGCGCTGGGAGCGGACGTCGTGCCGCGCAACCTGACGATGGAGTCGGCGCCGACGGTGCCGGCCTGGCTGGACTCGGTGGCGGCCAACATGAGCGCGGGCATCGCGGAGCAGGTGGCGAGCATCGCGGGGAGGGCGGTCGGGGTGCGGGCGCTGGCGGAGCTGCACAACACCCAGTACGCGCGGGAGTGGCGGGTCTACATGCACACGCTGAGGGCCGTGTACGAGCGGCTGAACCCCGGCAGCGCCGTGGCGGGGCTCGAGACCGTGTTCCTGCGGGAGAGCGCCTCGCAGCCGTACGCGTTCCCGCCCTGGCTGCAGCAGATGGGGGTGTTCGACCGGGAGGGCACGGTCGCGGTGGCGGACTACCCGGTCGCGAGGCGGTCGGGCCCGCGCGTGGGCCTGCAGCGGCGCGGCGGGCGGAGGCAGGCGCTGCCCGCGGCCCCCATCGACGCGGTGGCGATGGAGATGGTCGTCTTCCTCGACACGCAGGGGCTGACGGTGGGGGAGGTGGTCAACTCGATCTTCCAGGCGGGGGTGGCGATGGTGAACTCCACCTCGCTCCGGGGGCTGTGGGGGATGGACATCTTCGTGCGGGAGCTGACCGTGCGGGTGGAGCCCGTGGGGAGCCGGTTCCAGGGCGGCTTCCTGGTCTCCTTCCTCCTGCTCGGGGCCGCGGGGGCCGCGCTGGCGTGCCTGGGGTGCTACGCCCTGTCCGTCCCGCCCTACGAGCGCCTGCGCAGGGCTCCGGGCTCGTATGCAGACGCGGGTTGAAATTCCGAGCGTATTTAGGGCGGGAGGCCGCGCCGCACCCCATGGTTGCTGGCGGCCGGTATGTCGTACAGGCAGTCCTCGAAGCAGGTGGAGCGCCACAAGCACGTGGGCGAGCTGGACAACCTTCATCGCTTTGAGAGCGAGGCCATCGTGACGACCGTCAACGAGATCGCCGAGGGGGGGCTGAGGCCGCGGACGCAGCTGCTGGACGCCGCGGACTGCCACACGCTGGTGCGGGCCACGCTGACGCTGGGCGGGGTGGGCGGCGGCGGGGAGGATGGGGCGGGGACCGTGCTGGCCTCGGCGATGATGAAGGTGCCCGTGGGCGTGCCGAGCGGGGCGGACGCGGCGACCTCCGCGGCGCTGCTGTCGAAGATGCTCGGCCCCAACAGCGGCCTCTTCGCGGGGCACGAAGACGCGCGGACGGCGATGCTCCGGCACCTCCGCGGCCTGTTTAGGGTTTAGGGTTTAGGGTTTAGGGTTTAGGGTTTAGGGTTTAGGGTTTAGGGGGCCCCTGACAGAGGCAGGGGCCCCTGACAGAGGCATGCTGCTCTGCGGCGCGTAGGGAGAGCGCAAGAGGACCGGAGGAAGCTGCGAGCAAGAGGTTTGTATAGTTCAAACAGCTTTCTAAGCATGGTACTACAGTATGATGAGAGCGTTCGCAACCTGCTGTATCGGAGATCATGCCAATACACGCAGGGCGAGCGCTCTGGAGGCCACGTCGAAGAGGCCGCCGACCTCGTCGAGAGGGTGAAGAACTTCGCGAAGCGGTATCCTGGTAGTAGGACAGCTCATGCTTGCAGAGCTGAGGGGGGATGCACCCCCGACGCTATCGCTGAAGCCATCCGCTCAACATGTCGGCAGGCGAGACGCGACCTGTTTGAAGACTCTCTGAGGGAATGGAGCTCAGAGTCGAGAGCATGGTTTATACAACAGATGGAGGAGGCCAAGAAGCAGAATGTCGAGACATACATCGGCACAGAAGGCACCGAGGGGACCTCCTTCATCTCCATGACTCTCCTGGGCATCTCCTCGATGTATGTTCGACAAGAAGACAAGTTGAAATCGAAGCTTATGGAGCTAGGTCTCATGGTAGACTCAGTCGATGGCACCTTACAGACCTGAGATAGCACGAGCAGACGACATCTCAGTCACCGTCTCCTTCCTTCGGAATGAAGCAGCCATGGAGCTATGGGAAGGCAGGAGAGAATACTGCATAGACGGCAGATCGTTCAGAGCCACAGAGGTGAGCATTGCACATGACCGGTCCTTCAAGCTTCGAGCCAAGCGAGGACCTTGGGGCAAGGGAGGGAGCCTTGCCGAGCTATCACAGCTCTTAGCTCTTGGAGGAATGTCGACGGCCGACATAGCTCAGATCTATCGATTTCAGCTGCTCTCGCAATCTCTTGCAGCCGCAGAGGTACAACCACTTGCGGGCATGCTCGTGCAGGGTCCTGGGGGCAAGTACTGGCACTCTCCAGCAAAAAGAGCTGGAGTGGGTGCTCAGCTCGCCTTCGACGGCAAGTTGCGAGCAGACCTTGGCCTCGTTCAGAGAGAGCGAGGCGATGGAGGGGGTACATCTCACTCTCATCAGCGACGACGCCAAGCTCAGAGAGACGTTTGCAGTCGAGCTCACAGCCGACACCTTCGTTCCTAGTGGCTAAGTGACACAAAGGTTTTTCGGGTTTTTGCCGTTTTCTCACGGGCAAACCTTTAGAGGGCATTAAAAGGTGGGGTGGGGGTGTATGTGTACGGGTATATTTGTATTACAAATGTACCGGTTCCAAGCTCATTCGGGGGGGTAGGGGTACTCGTCTGCCGAAAAAATGGCGCGCGGGCATCCTCCAGGAGGTGGGTGCATAGCGTACTTGCCCGCCTTTGCCAGGATCCATTTGTCTTCACATGCACAGGACGTGATCATATTAGTGTAAATATGATTCAAAAAATCCATTTTCTTATCCTTTCCATCAGTTTTTGTCCAATGAACACGGTTTGTGAAATCGCCAACTCGTCTTCGATGCAACTGAAATGAACATTCTTGCACAGACAAGCAGGTAACAACAGTCGAATATCGTTTAATGATATCAAAACTTATTTGATCATGCTTAAGATCTGTTAATTTGTTCTTCAATTACGCAAAATTTTCCTTACAGCAATGTCGTGAAAAACAGTTCCTTTGCGTTCCAGGACCACACAATCCAAAAGGGCGCTTCAATGGATCGTTTTTGCTGCACTGGTAACAGCAAAAGGAAGTCTTGCAACCATGTTTGTCCCTGCCACAGCATACCTTACACCTTACACGAGTTACTTTCGCTCATAGCGTTGTCGCTCTCAACTGACCCCTCTGGTTTCCAATAGTTTTCTGTGGGGGTATCCTTCCACATATGTGAATAGCAAATGGCAGTTGGGGTCTGGGGTGGGTCAGACGGCTGGGAGCTGATTCAAATTGGTTGGGACCAGTTTAAGGGGGTAGGGTACTTCCTGGTAGCAAATAATTGTACCAACAGTACCATTTTTATGGTACACATAGAGTACTGTTAGGAAAACTTGTACCAAAATAGTTTATGCGGTACCTCCCCTGTTCAAACTATGATGCTTTGGACCCACCTGTTTCCCAGTGAAAGTCCCTTCTCCGATGGGGTCAAGTTTTGGACCCTACCCTGCCTCCGACCAACATAGACCACCCTTGTAGATCAGAGGGAGCTCTCAAGCCTTGCCCCTTCCCTTCCCTGGTTGCATATCCAAGGTTAGCAAGTGAATGTTACGCAGACGTGACTCGTCTGCAGCAGGAGAGCTCAGACGAGGACAAGCAGAGGCAATCCTTGCAGAATCTGGTGTGAGCGCAGCAGTCTGAATACATCTCTGTGATTGCAAACACATGTAAAGAGGGTTGATCATCATAGATTTTAGCAGCTTGAATAAGGAGTACTCTGCACGGACCGTCCGCTAGTGGCGCTGTACGATGGATGACATTGACTCTCATGAGCAATAAGTAGGAAGTCATGAAGCATGTCACGGAGACAGCATGATCTATACTTATTTCATAGGAATCTGCTGCAAAGAGTCGGGCTTGAGGGCGTTCTGAGCAATATGCAAGAGTATTGCCAAGGCATGTAAAGAGTTTCAAGGAATACCAGTGCATTCATCAAATAGCAGTGATGAGGTACCACATGAAGGCATGACTTGCAAATTGATTGCATGTCGTGTTCCATTTGATGACTTACAATCAAGACGCTTTTGAGCGACAAAACGATACCCCTTATAGCATTGTAAATCATATTTCATTTCCTTCACCTCGAGTCGAAGCAAGAAATTTTCAAGGTGCTGATATCTTTGTTTTGACTAGACTGACATGGTATCAGGAGCAGTTAATTTATGATAGATCCGATTGAATCATGCAGACGAAAATGGACATACCCTTTTGAATAAATCTTTCTCCTCGAGTCTCATACCTGAGCTTTCTTGCCTCTTCTTTGTAACCTAACATGTACAAAGCATTGGCATTTTCTTACACAAAGTAAACTGAGCCTGACCAGCTTCTCTTATTCGCTGCATTCTCGCCCTTCCATCATCCTGATCTTTTCCTCGCTTGACACCCTTGGGCCAATGCGAGTTGCATGCTGCGATATCATCAATTGCTTGGAACCAAGCGATAAGTGGAACAAAGCGCTCAGGTGCTATGCAGGCTGCAATGCATCGCCGGCATTCCAACCATATGGATAAGTTTGCCAACTTTGCGCTGCTCATATTACTTGCAGCGAAAGTCAACCATTCCAGATGATAAGGACAATGTATGAGACTTGCGCAGAAGAATGTGCAAACACTTCCACACGACGGTGAGTGTGCACGATTCCACATACACAAGAATGCTGCGCAGAAGTATCTACCAATTTCTTGTCTAACCACTCTTTTGATGAATTAGCATCGACTTCTCTAACATGTACATCAGGTCATGCAGGCTCATGGAGAAATGATGATGTTGTTAGCAACAACTTGGCTTTGTTTTATTGAAGTACGTTAAAAACATCACCTAGGCCGCTACATATTCCCATGTCCGCTTTGCAACAGTTCTGAACCACGTATCACCATAAAGTTGTACATCAATCGACTAGTCCGATAACATCTTCATGTAGAGCCTCAGTTTCAAGCACAACGCGGTTTGGAGCGATACTGTGACTTGTTTGCCTGGTATGATTACATGTGACATGCTCCCTTAGACAATTGAAGAGTATTGTAGAAAATTCAGTCAAGCGGTGCACAGTTCAGCCTTTCTTTCTTACTATTCATCAAACATAGTGTATCAGACAGATGTCATTGTGTGGATCGACGCAAAATAAAGATGAACTCGAAGTTCTGTCTGAAAAATGACCCTTTGCAAGTACTGATGGATCGAGAGCAAGTTCTTGATGCTGTATCATTGAGAAGTAAAATAACAGTCATTTGCCAGTGCTACACGACTCGTATCCATCAGCTTGAAATATGCACACCTGAGTTTCATTCCATGAATCATCTTTCCTCCCGCATTCAAACTGAGAAACTCAGTGCTTGTCAACTCATGGGCATGGTTTCAGAGTTTGAATTTCCAGCAAGTTGAGGAAGGACAAGGCAGACAGAAGCGTCAAAGAAAGTTGAGGGTCATCAGGGAAGGTCTGACGAGAGTCTGAGCCTCATGAACAGGGAAGGATAGGGATGCGCAAGTGTGGAGGGCAGGGAGATGGGGAGGGAGACACCCTCTGCTAAATGTATTTTAAAAGGTACCCATTACAGTACCAGACCAAGACCTGTACCCCCCACCCCCCTGTCGCGTCCGTTGGGTTCGAATATTTGAAATACTACCACGCCTACCCATCAGTTTCTGGTACAAATCATTACTCCACTATACAAGCGCTATGTGACCCTATCCAAAGACAAATAGGAACGATTGTTTACTTATCTAAGCTCTCAATTACCCCCGATTGCCGTTGAACTTGCAGCGCTGGAAATGGATTTTCAAACCTTCCAATCCTTGGATTTTTTACTCACACACAATTTTGTACTGGGAAACGCCTGGATCTGGTACAAATCCCAATTGTCAGCAAGTTCCTTGACCCGACAACGCTATGGACGTCCTTGGAACGGCCCGTGTCGTCTTGTGCTCAGCCAAAAAATTGTTCACGGAAACAAGAAAATGTAGCATGCCTCTTTCTTTTCCGCGAAGGTCTCCCGCCTTCAAAGCTATTTGTCATCATCTGAACGGAAAGATCAGCAATGAACGAAGAGTGATCAATATCTTCATCTGTTTCCTTGTACAAGCAGTAAACCTTGTAAGCGTCCACCTCAATCATGCCCATGATAGATGTCATCATTCTGAAAATCCAATTCTGTGTACGAACGCAGTCTTCGAGACCTAAACTGGATTGTCTCAGTTGATTGTGACGATCGATAACTCCTGCTGATGTGAAATATGACTTCACCATAGCTGTTCTGGGAACCGTGAAGGTCCAAGGAACCCGCTCCTGAGTCTCTGGTACCGTCCTCATTCGACGCTTCACATGTGGATCTGTAGAGGTCGTGGTATTCCACGTGGAAATCAAGATCTTCTTCGGCAATCCACGGCGTCCAGGTTCATTCCAGGCATGAGCATACACGTATAAATCCTGTCCATTAACTTCGCGTACCAGCCTTGCAGTCTTCGTGGCTCCTCTGGGGGGGTGTGGCTCCCATGCTGCACCATTCAGGTAAGCTTTCGGGAACCCAGAATACGCTGTTTTGACTAAACCCGTAAAAAAAGTGTTCCGTTCCAGAAGCGCGACGGCTGTTGAAAGTGAAGCAAACGCTGAGTCTCCGTATAGAATATGACCCTTCCCGAGGTAATTTTGCATGATGCGAAGAACCAGAGCTGTGTGCTTTGGATATTGAGAGTTGTATTGCCTGGTACCCATCTCCTCTTTGCCTTCTTGCAACTCCAGATGGAGCATGATCCCAAAAGTGCATTCAGCCAGATTCTTGTACTCGCTTCCCTTCCACCCTGTCACACGTCAAGATTCAAGCAATGAAACAACCAAATCTAATCAGTACCTGCCGGCATGGATTCCATTTTCCCATTGATTCATCAATTGTCAATTCGCTTCCAGCTCGAACAGTTCGAAGCCTATTGCGATTGAACGCTTCGATAAGAGGACGAATCTTGTCAAACCGTTGCCTAGACCCGTCGGCTTGAGGTGGCCACAGTTTCAAGTGTTTTTTCCACAGTTCAAACCGCCTACGCGATACTCCAAAGCGGTTGCCGATGTCAAGTGGGGGAGGGTTTAGGGTTTAGGGTTTAGGGTTTAGGGTTTAGGGTTTAGGGTTTAGGGTTTAGGGTTTAGGGTTTAGGGTTTAGGGTTTAGGGTTTAGGGTTTAGGGTTTAGGGTTTAGGAGGCGCCGTTATTTTCGGCAGGCGCCGTTATTTTCGGCAGGCGCCGTTATTTTCGGCAGGCGCCGTTATTTTCGGCAGGCGCCGTTATTTTCGGCAGGCGCCGTTATTTTCGGCAGGCGCCGTTATTTTCGGCAGGCGCCGTTATTTTCGGCAGGCGCCGTTATTTTCGGCAGGCGCCGTTATTTTCGGCAGGCGCCGTTATTTTCGGCAGGCGCCGTTATTTTCGGCAGGCGCCGTTATTTTCGGCAGGCGCCGTTATTTTCGGCAGGCGCCGTTATTTTCGGCAGGCGCCGTTATTTTCGGCAGGCGCCGTTATTTTCGGCAGGCGCCGTTATTTTCGGCAGGCGCCGTTATTTTCGGCAGGCGCCGTTATTTTCGGCAGGCGCCGTTATTTTCGGCAGGCGCCGTTATTTTCGGCAGGCGCCGTTATTTTCGGCAGGCGCCGTTATTTTCGGCAGGCGCCGTTATTTTCGGCAGGCGCCGTTATTTTCGGCAGGCGCCGTTATTTTCGGCAGGCGCCGTTATTTTCGGCAGGCGCCGTTATTTTCGGCAGGCGCCGTTATTTTCGGCAGGCGCCGTTATTTTCGGCAGGCGCCGTTATTTTCGGCAGGCGCCGTTATTTTCGGCAGGCGCCGTTATTTTCGGCAGGCGCCGTTATTTTCGGCAGGCGCCGTTATTTTCGGCAGGCGCCGTTATTTTCGGCAGGCGCCGTTATTTTCGGCAGGCGCCGTTATTTTCGGCAGGCGCCGTTATTTTCGGCAGCATGGCTCCTCGTCAGGTGTAGGGGAAGCCGCCAGGGCGCCAAGGAAGCTGCAAGCGAGAGGTTTGTATACTTCAAATAGCTTTCTAAGTATGGTTCTTCAGTATGATGAAAATGTTCGCAACCTGCTGTATCGGAGATCATGCCAATACACGCAGAGCGGACTTGTGGATGCCTCTGTCCTCGAAGCTGATCTCGTCGAGAGGGTGAAGAGCTTCGCGAAGCGTTATCCGAACAGCAGGACAGCCCAGGCTTGCAAGGCTGTGGAGGGATGCACCCCCGACGCTATCGCAGAAGCCATCCGCTCGACATGTCAGCAGGCACGACGTGAGTTTCTGCAAGAAGCGATGACTGGATGGAGTGACGCATCCAGAGAGTGGTTTATGCAGCAGATTGAAGAAGCCAAGAAGGAGAAGGTTGAGACATACACCGCCTCAGCAGGCAACGAGGTGACTTCCTTCATCTCCATGACTCTCCTGGGCATCTCCTCGGTGTATGTCAACCATGAAGAAAAGCTGAAGAAGAAATTTGAAGAGATCGGACTGATCGTAGACTCAGTGCAAGAGAGTAAAGCAATCATGTGGAAGGCTCCGTATAGACCCGAGATAGCGAGTGCTGAGGAGATCCCGGTGACTGTTTCCTTCCTCCGCAATGCACAAGCGGAGAAGCTCTGGCAGGGAAGAGAGGACTTCGCGATCGATGGTCGCAAGTTCACAGCTGTACATGTGAGCATCGTGCACGATCGATCTTTCAAGATTCGAGCCAAGAGAGGACCCTGGGGCAAAGGGGGCAGCTTGGCAGAGCTGACTCACCTGCTAACCTTGGGCGGCATGACAACGGCTGAGATAGCTGCCGTCTATCGCTATCAGCTGCTGCGCCAGTCCCTTGCAGCGGTCCAACTCCAGCCGCTGGCAGGCATGCTGGTCGCTGGGGCGCCAGGACAGCAAGTCCACAAAGGCTTAGGTCAGAAAGGCTTCATCGCTGTAGGGGCCAACGTCATCTGGAGACAGAGGGAGGTGGAGTGGATCGTCTCCTCGAGCTGCCCAGAGGCGAATGATACAGCATTTCGAGCTTTCCGAGAGAGCGAAGCGATGGAGGGAGTACACCTGACTCTGTTCAGCGAGGACCCGAAGATCAGAGAGGCGCTCGCAGTCGAGTTGACAGCTGATCGCTTTGTGTCCAGAAATAAGTTGAAGAAGGCATCAAGGATGCAGAAGAAGGCAGGCGGCAAGGACGGCAAGGAGATCAAGATCATCATCAAGTCGACGGCAGCATCTGGTCGCTTCACGAGGAAGGAGATGGAGGGGCTGTGCAACGGCGGCAACACGTCTATCGCAAGAGTCAAGAGAGTCTTGTTGGAGATCGCTAACAGGCTCGAGATCAACGTTGAAGGCATCGACATGGAGGAGGATTTGAACACCAAGTCCTGGAACGGGTCCAAGCTATGCATCCTCCTCGGCTCCACGGAGGATGCTCGACGCATGATGAAGGAGCTGCCCTTCTATCTCGAAGGCGCAGCAACCAAGCTCGAAGCAGTCGGCTTCGACAAGGAGCCTGACTCTGAGGCGGCTGGTCAGCGGGGCACCAGCGACGCAGCGCAGCGACAGGAGGAGAGCGAGGGAGAGTGGCTGGAGTTTACAGACCTGGAGAGGATCACAATGGAGGCAGCATCTCCGTCAAGCCAAGAGGACATGCAGCTCGTCAGCGAGCTGTCAGCAGTCATCGAAGATGCAGCTTCTTTGAACGAGGCGGGGACGAGCGAGCCGATCAAGCTGGTCCTGGACAAGGCCGTTGGCAACCTCCACGACACCTTCTACTCTCCGGGGAGCCTGGAGTTCATGTCGCTGGGAGAGTGGGCGAAGATGCCAGAGGAGCAGGGAGTTGGGCGCAACGTTCTCAAGGAGAAGCTGGGGAAGTGGCTGCAGAGCAAGCGCTGGACTCGCGTGCAAGGAGAGAGCAAGAAGGCAAGGAGGGGCAGCGCGTTCTCGCCACGGGCAACGGCAGCTGCTGAGCTTGAGCAGGAGGCGGAGAGCGACGACATAGAGCGTCGATCTCTTAGCTTCCTGTTCATAGCACTGAGTAAATTCGCAGAGATGCATGTGCTGGCCTGCTCGCTGAAGGTGGACAAGAAGGACCGACTGCGGGTGGAGATGAGGGAAGATGACGAAGAAGAGGAAGACATGGAGGAAGAGCAAGGCGAGGGCGAGGAAGAAGACGGGGCGAGCCCGTACCGAGCTTGAGCTGAGCTCAAGGTAAGTAGAGAAGGTGGAGGCGACCGAAGGCCAAGGTGAGGAGAGGCAACTCTCCTGACTGAGGCTGAGGAAGCTGAATGGAGGAGGAGTAGGTGGCGACCGAAGGCCAAGGTGAGGAGAGGCAACTCTTCTGACTGAGGCTGAGGAAGCTGAATGGAGGTAGAGTAGGTGGTGACCGGCCAAGGTGAGGAGAGGCAACTCTTTTGACTGAGGCTGAGGAAGCCAAGAGAAGACAGCAAAAGTAGAAAGTAGAAAATTGCAAACGCCCACAACGAGGCCGAGCAACATTCTAGCATTCTAATAAACTCACATAATAATAATAATAATAATAGGGTTTAGGGTTTAGGGTTTAGGGTTTAGGGCTGGAGTAACAGACATGCTCTCCTCCCCTGCAGTTTGAGGGGATCCCTGCGAGCTAGGGTGCTGAACAGGATATTTTTCTGTGCAGAAACGGTTGTTTGATCATGTGGTATCTATCCAAAGAGGAAAGGAAACAGATTGCTCGTGTCCGAGTTTCCCAGTTCCTAAACAAGGACACGACACCTTCAGCACCTTCGCTAGGAGAGCTGATCCGAAGATTGGAACACTTCGTCAGGCAGTACCCTCAGAGCAGGACAGGCAGAGCCTTGCAGTCCAAGGAAGTCTCGATGAACGCCTTAGCCGAAGCCATTCGACAGACCTGCAAACATGCTGAAGTCAGGAGCCAGGAGGATGCCATCAAAGAATGGGGGGAAGAAGGACAGTCGTGGTATGTCTCTGCATGGAACGCAGACAAACAGGAGGTACTAGACAAGAGTGCCTGCATCGATGCTTCAGGAGCGTCCCCCGAGAGTGGTAAACTGATTACCATGGCTATCCTCGGAGTTCCTACCCAGTACATAAAACAAGTTGAGGTACTGTGTGAGAAGTTGAAGGATCAAGGACTCTTGGTGCACGAGGAGCAGGGCAAGAAATGCATCTCGTGGAGAGCCCCGATCAAGAAAGATTTGATTCCGACAGTGGATGAAATCCCAGTCGTGGCAACACTCCAATTGAACGACGCAGCAGAACTGCTGTGGAAAGGACAGACGAACTTCAGGATCGACGGAAAGATGATCCGCGCGGTGAACGCGCATTCGAAGCATCCTTGCTCCTCAAGATAA